CCCATCAATGATGCATTCCCTGTTCTGTCAAAAAAGCACCCATTCTAGTCAGGTTCCAAAAGAGTCAGCTCCATTCTAGTGATAATTTCCAGCAGATCTGTGGTGCAACAGCCTGGCTGATTATTTTACAAGGGATGATGAAGTGGACATGGAACATAGCCAGCCTTATACTGTATTTAATCCATGTTTCAAGTCCCCATGGTAAAGGTTCCTCTATAAGGCATGATACTACCACCAACATGCAAGACAGTCAGTTTAGTAATACAAAGAGTTAACTTTAATTTCAGCGCTTTAACAGGTTTGAGCAAAAGCAAATGCTTAGAAACATTATCTAACCTCTATTTTTAACCAATTTAAAATGAAAAATACTCACTTAAAAAATCAATAAAACCTATACTCGTATAATACAAATAAAAAGGAATCAAATATAATGAAGTGACTTTTATGTCTGTGTATTGCCCCCAAATGCAAAAAAGCTTTTGATCCTAGGATTACCTTGTACATACAGTCTGTACCTGTCTCCATATTTTGTTTAGCAACATCTTTTTTTCTTGGCTCGTGGCAAGATTCTCTTTAAATCACTTTTCTTGCTGTAAGATTTATAACAATTACATCATTCCTCCAATATTCCAAAGAGGATACACATATAAATAACCTTTGATAGTTCAATAGCCTGATATCTGTATACTTGACAGTTTGTCATGAAAAGATAAAAACACTAGTGATCTTGAAACTGGTTAAATCTATGTGTAATGGCCCCTTAGACAGTTTTTTTAAAACTGTTTTGACTCCGTGTGTGAATTCAATCAGTTAAAATTCATCCTTTTGATCCAGATAGGTGCACTCACAAAATCCACCTTCTGACATTCTGATTTCCTTTTCATCGTTTCTCTCCTTGTAATGAAACAGAAAATACAGGTTCCAAAAGACTCAGCTCTGCATTAGTGTGCACTTGAAACAACCTGAATATATGGTTTTTTCTAAAAAAAAAAAAAAAATAATAATAATAATAATAAATAAATAAGATAAAAGGATTTACTTTGAACAGGCAAAACCCCAACTGTTTGAGTAATTCCCAGGGCTTTATGATCCAAGTAAAGCTATAACATTTGGAAAAACCGCAAGCATCTTCAGTGTGTTATCTGGTAATTACTACTTTGACATTTCCATGTGGATATTCTTTGGTCATTTATTTTGAAAAAAGTGAGCTGTCAGAATGTCTAGCAAAGCTCTCCCTGGAGAGCAAATGGTTTATGGTTTATAATCTGTAAGCAGCACTGGCAAAACAAAACTCTGTTTTTTTTATTAGCATAGAATAATGTAATTCAGTTTCATGATCTCTAAATAAATTCCCATTCCAACAATTTTGCACCAAGTTGCTATAGTGAAACAGAGCAAATAAATCAAACATATTGGACTGTCTTTTTCCACCGTATTTTTGTTACAACATTTTGCTCCCACTTAAACAGCTGTAACTTATACAGCCTTGGTTATGACAGGACTGCAAATTATTTGAATACCACAAGTTTCAAAAGTATTTTAAAAAATTGCAGAGGCAGAGAACGTAGGGACTTAAGCCAGAATATATGATTGAAACCTAGAGCACGGCTACATTGTAGTGAAATATGAAAGTCCACAAAATCTTGAATATAAATGATCTTTGCAGATACCCCATCTATATATTTTGTAGAGCTTTAGATTCATGTGATTAAGGAGCTTTTTTCATTATACTGATCAAGCAGTGCATAATGGCCATAAAGTGAACTGTTCCAATCTTTGCTTCCAAAGCAGCCATGATATGTGAAATCAAAAACACCTTCTGAACCCTAAAGATGTGCCATCACGCCTTCATGAAAGGACAACCTGCAGCACATTCAACACATGCTTGCTTTAATTGAGATCTAAGGAAGTCTGAAGCAGAGCCAACATTTCCCCAATAGTTTAACAACACCTCCATCTTTACTTATCTGAAAAGAAAAACAGCTACTTCACATTTGAATTATATCATTAGAAAAAATGAAAAGTAATTGTGTATTTTAAACTGAAATATCCAAGAATCATGAATTTTATTTATTAATCAATTTTTAAATACTGCAACTTGAAAATGTATTTTCAAATCATAATTCTTTATCTTAATCCATAACCTCTTTTATGGAATAAGATAAAGAGAAAAAAAATGATGGCTAATTGAATATGCAATATATTAATTTAATGAAACATAAGATTTATACCTGATTGTAGTTTTTTGGTTAAAGTAGTAAGTTCACAGTACACTGTCCAACTTTTCAATCACGTCACTAAAAATGTTTTAGTTTTGCACCCTCTTTGCACAATTTTCTTTTACTCTGACACAACATGACCCTGCCTGTGGAATGTGAAAGGGATCTCCCAACGAACCCAGCACAGGATGCGTATCAGGGTTTATCCTGATCTCATGTGACAGCCTGCTATCCTCTCTATTAATCTGCTGAAAGCTCAAACTAAACATCACAGCAGGGGGGCAAGATTCCCTGCAATTATCGCATTTGAGTTAAGCTGGGTCACCCACAGTAAGAGACTCGACCTATTTTGATCAAAGCGTCAGCTGAACAGCCTGACCCAATATTTTTTTTACCTAAACCACCAGCACTCCCGTTCACTCCCAAAGTGACGGAGCAGTAAAGTGGTACTCCCATGAAGTCCGACTTTCAGTAGTAAAACTTTAAGTGAAAGCATACTGTTGGTACTGTAAATGCGAGATGCTTTTTGTGTTTGACTCTGTTATTAAAAATGGTTTGGATTAGACAAACTAAATGTTTACAGTAAACTTACATCTCTCTGTTTATAGTCAAAGCCATTGAAAAATAACTAAATACAAGTATGTTTTTCATGATTTGCATCTGAATGCGAAAAACCCCAAAAATGTAATATTTTATATATTAATATTTTATTTTCATTTTTAATTTTCATACAAAAACTCAAACAAATGCACATATACAAATACTAGAGCCTCCATCCCCTCCCTTGCTCGCTCAAAAATAAAGAGGCTCTAATTGACACAGTAAGTCCAGTTAGCTTACACATTTACACCTACATGGTCCAAATAAGGTTTCCAGATTTTTAGAAAAGTTTTCTATGATTTCCTGAGGCTGTATGTTATTTTTTTCTAACTGCACAAAACTGTTCATTTCTATGTACCATTTGGATAAAGGCAGGGTAATCGGACTTCCATGTAAGGGCAATACATTTTCTAGCCACTGCAAGAGCTATTCCAAAAAATATAGATTGGTATTTGTTCAGAGGTTCCATTTTAACATAATGCCCAATTAAACATAGTTCAGGATCTAGAGGGGTTAAGATCTTGGTCATGGTAGAAAGTAAAAAATCATACATTATAATTACATAAATAATAAAAATATGTTTTTCAAAGAATAACTTTATTAGTAAGGGAAGAGTGACTATCTAAACCAACTCTGCCCAAGAACATGGAAAAACACAGAAGGCCAAAACATAACAAAGAATAACATCTAAACCGATGAAGACCTTAATATTTAGATGTCTGTGTTTAGAATTTCACAATAAGAGAAGTTTGGCAATAGTTACATTTCATTAAAAGAGCCCCATCTGAGGAATATATAAAATATATCTGATGATGCGCCTCTTTATATGTCTGAACAGCATTTCACAAATAGATATCAAAATAACCACCAAACGGTGGGGGATGTGGGAGTTTTACAGCTTGAGGACGTAGGAGGCTTAATAAAGGAAAGACAACATTTTTTTCTCTGGAGGAAAGTCCTGAATGTCCAGTCATTAATTTGTGACCTTAAGCGCACTCAAAAAAAAAAAAAAGTTTTGGAGTGGACTAGTTCATATCTGGACATAAATCCATTCGAGATACCGTTGCTTGACCTTAAACAGGTTGTCCATGCTACGACATCTTTCGGTGTGGCGGAATGAAAAACAAATTTGAAAAGAGTATCCCAAAAGGCCTTCAAATCTGCACAAAAACTTCTTTAAATTTATTGCCTAGACTTGATGTCAGGAGGGGCACAACCAGCTGAAAGGTTTAGGGTGTAATTGCTTTTTCAAACCAGACCAGGAGGTGGAGAATTTCTGTTTGATCTGAAACATTTAACAATCTGAGACAAAAAAAATATGCTAAAAAAATGTATTCAATTTTTTTTCACATCAATAAAAGAGTGGCTTATCATATCACTTGATCAGTCTGTTCATTTTTGATAATGAATTCCCAACAATTCTCGGTCCTGTTTTTTTAGCGTTTTAATCAGCTCTTGATACAGTTTTGATTAGTTTGCATAAACTTCTACACTTATGAAGTTTAGAAATGTTTGCAAAACCAATGTGAAGTGCATAAAAATAAATCCCGTTTTTTGTTCAATGTCAAGTTATTTAAAGAAATTCACTTTGTCATATTACTAAAATGGCTTTGGTATTTTATATTTCTCTTTTTTTTTCTTCTTTTTTTACAAATTGGTCACAGTGAGTCATGCGTGATCTTGAAAGTGCCCCAGCTCAGACACCTTCAGAAAAATGGTTAAGTTTGCTTTAAATTCTAAATCTTTTAACATGACTCAATGTTTTGCAAGGTATGTGCAACTGGTGAATTTTTAAACTGATTATGTGAAATCAGTCTCTCTTGTGGTCCCCATGAAGTCCAGCACCGAGCCCTAAGCAGCTTTGGCTGTTGTGCCCCAGCTCATTTAACTTATGCTAAATTCAATAACTAATGCTCTTTAAAACGTTTTTGAAAAAATGTTCCACTGCAAATGCCATGGAAGCTAAGGACAGAATTAAATCTAATCTTCTGTGGTGTGTGTATTGATTTACATTTCTGAATCCACAATCTGCACATTACATCTCAAATTCCTGCCTTTGACTGCAACACTAATCGTTGAATGTTTTTGACTTGGCATTCTTTAATGCTGAATATAAACGTCAAGGTTTTGCATCAGAAATGACTCAAAGATTGATAAGAAAATAGAAAATAGTGAACTCACCCATTAAAAGAGTAACCTTAAATCATGAGCTCTTGAGGCTTCTGGAGAGATGTTTAGGAAAGAAAAAGTCCACTTCGCAATAGAAAACTTCACAATCGTCACTCTCTAGTAAACCTTACCACGAGTTTTATAACCTCTTCTGAGTGACAGGCAAAAGTGCGCTGTCAACAACTGCCCCGTCGTCTCAAGCCTCCGCAAGGTTGTTCCTCTATTTTGGAAGCGTCTGAGGTCAAAGGACAAGGAGCGACTCTGTGTGCTGAATGCCTCCTGTCACAGAACATGATCTGTATGTTCTGGCTTCGAGTAAAATGTGCTTACATATTTTTTTTTTTTTTTTGCGCTGCGAACCTGTGCGTACAAGCAGCGTCATTCCTGTGCCCTCAAGCACATCTTACCTTTTTATGTTACCTTAAGTGCTACCTGTGTGTGGCTCTATAGGAAAGAATGCAAGCAGGTTATGGATCTCTGTGATATTAATGATGACCAGAATGACATCCTGTTTTCTTTAAATGCAAATGAATTTCCACATGATCATGTTATTTTCAATTGGCACTATACCTTTACTACATGTTGCGTCATATTAAATAAAGGTAGAAGCAGGTGCCTCTGTTTGCACTCTACAGTATAGTCCACACCCATCTGGATTTACGCAAACATGCGTCATCTCCACAAGCCGGAGTAAACCATTTCCGATGAACAAAAGTGAAAAAGTGCCTGGTGTGTTTAACTCACTGAAACCTGACATATACTCTCAAGAGTATTGAGAGTCACACGTTTTAGCAGAAAGAAATGCTTTTATGTGTGAATGGATCATACTTTAAAGTGAACACCAAGAAAATTAGGTCTAAAGGGGGTTGGGTCATTATGGCACTAATGGGGTTAAACTAACAGAGGCCAAGTATCAGCATTTAATACCACACCTTGTATAATAAACATGTCAAGTCTGTTTCTAGATGACATAACCATGCTGTAAAGATGCCTGTGACATTTCCATCTAAGCACTGTGATTCAGCATGAACATACCCCTTAATCTGTTCCATTAAATTCAAATCACGTGAGTCAATGTTTTATGGAAACACCTTTGTGTCTCTGGTAAACCCTATATATACCTAGAAATTGAAACAAGCTCAGATTCAGTCAGATTAGATAAGAATTCTCTGTGGGCAAGTCTTGCCACATATTTTTGTTGGGATTCAAGTCTAGAACAATTAATTGTGCTTTGATCTAAACTGTTCCACTGTAGCTCCAGCTTTTAGTTTAGGTACAATGTTACCGTTCCTTTCCCATCCCCTATCAGGTTTTCTAATATTATTGTCGTGGTTTCTTAGCTTCCCTATCACACTCCAACCAGCAGTGTTTTTTCAGAATTGCGTAGATTAAGTGTGACTGGGGCTTTCCCAAAACGGAAATTACATTGTACTATATCTAACCTAAGACCCTTAGTCCACATTTTTCTTTTACCTTCACTACATGACAAATTGTTGGCAAAAATCTTTGACTCCTTTTCAACAAGTGCTTATATCTTGGCATTGTTTGAAAAAAGGCCAGATTTGTGAATTACACAACTAATTGTTGTCCTGTGAATCATTTCTCCAACCTGAGATATATATCTTAAATTATCCTTCGCCTATTTCTCTGATTATTAACTTGTTTCCCAGCTTGTGAGCTTTGGTACAAGGCCATATATGGGGTGTTTGTTATACTTGTTTGAACAGTGCTAAGATGTTCAAAGCTTGGAAAACTGATTTATATCCCTGAACTATCTGCTGTGTTGGTTTTAAAATATATATATATCTATATATATATATATATATATATATATATATATATATATATCTATATATATATATCTATATATATATATATATATATATATATATATATATATATATAGATATATATAGATATATATAGATATATATATCTATATAGATATATATAGATATAGATAGATAGATACAGTAGATATAGATATTTATGCCAAAACTTCATAAATGTACTTAGTTAAACTGTATTAGACATGCACTAAAATGCCCCTGATTTCATGAGAATGTTGCTTATTAATCAGCTGTTTATTCTGCTCTTGGACACAATCTCCCCTCCCCTCTAGAGCAGCAGGACACTGCCTTTCCATCTATATGCGAAATCCCTGTTGAGGATTGTGCCTATTGAGGTAAGCAGCGAGAAAGTAGAGGTACGCCAAAATACATCACTTCCAGTGAGGCCCAACTTCTTAGAGGGTCTATGGAGCAGGGGCGGGTCGTGAAGGCGGCTACTCAATCCTGATGGACGAAACGGTACTTTAGAGTTTTTGACTGACAGTGACCAGACAGTGAGGAGGTTTTCCTCTCGAGTCGGTAGGGAAAGTGATCATTCAGTCAGAACACTCATCTATGCTTAACTCCTGCCATGGTTTCTGTTCCCCTGTTGTAGGGATGTGTTTTATGTGTTTCAACATTTGTTATTGCAATGTGTGATGTTTGGATTTGATTAACACCACTGAGCCTCCCCTGTTTGAGAGAGATGCAGCCGCTCACTGCCTTACACTGAAGTTAGACTGCAACCAGTGGGCGTTGCTTTTCCAACGCCCACTGGTTGCATTAGATTGTATTTAGGGTGAAAAAAAGCTAAATAAATGCACACTACCATGAATTTTGAAACTTTTCTTGTCCCTCCACCTTACATTTATGACAGTTCTGTGTTTTGGTCATGATATCCACATAAAGTATGGTCAGTTTTGTGCTAAGGGAAATTCAGTCATCACTTTATTGGTTACAGGTGTAACTTATCCACCCATTTTTACCTATAGTGGTCATTGGATGAGAAATTAGGAACACCCAGGTAACATGGAAACAGCTATGCAGGGACATGCTCGGCCCCAAGGGCATTTTAGTGAGCCCAGTTAACCTATGAGTCATGTTGTAGACTGTGGGAGGCAAAGCAGTACCTGAAGAGTACTCACGCAAGCTTGGGAAGAGAGAACTTAGACAAGGTGTCATAACCAGGAGCTTCTTCCTTTAAGCCAACAGCGCTTGCCACTGTGCCAGCCATGCAATGTAATAGCCATTTCATGAGTTGTAAAATGTGTACTCCTCTCTTTTTGCTTTTCATTTCTAAGCAGACATTTACTAAAATTTTTATTTACTTCCTTCAAAAGGAAAATGAACCAAACAATTAACTATTGCATTGTTCATGCCTACCTAAAGTTCAGATGTGACTGGAGACCACTACAACGAGCATTCGGTCCAATTATAGCAAAGCAGCAGTGAACACAGAGTTGTGATGATTGGTGTAATCATCTTACTGTGGAAAGAATAAATCACTGTAGTTCATATATTCTCACCTATCATCAGACATTCATTCATTCTTATCCCAGCCCTGAGTTTCTTTTCTGTGAAGCACTAGGCCCCTCACTGTCTGTAGGTGTGATCTGTTTGATTTTAACCAATTAAAGAAAACAAACATGTGACCTTAAATAAAATCACACAATTCAGTTTTACCAGTTTTTCCCCTTTTTTACAGAAAAAGTAACCACAGAGGGAAAATGAGAGGAGAAAATGCTGTTGCTATGGTAATGTATGTAGATTTATTGGCAGTCTTTCCTCCTGAGGTGTAACAATGCCACCTAGTGACATGTGAAATTATTAAACACCCCAGGGATGCAGTTTCACATAACAGTAGTATTTTTACTATACTTCAAAAGACTTAGAACTTTATGTTAATAGAGTTAGGGTTTAATTTCCAGTTTGCCCAAAATTAGGAATATAATAATAATACTTAGAAATACTGCTTTTATTAAGGTCATGAAATTTTGCAAAAATGAAATGCCAAATTTAGAAACCTTGTTTTTTCTGTTACATTCAAACTTATAGCTTAATGTCTATATATATATATATATATATATATATATATATATATATATATATATATATGTATGTGTATGTGTGTGTGTGTGTGGGTATGTGTGTGTGTGTAACACTCACTTAGATGCATTTTGTTTGTGCTTTACTGCAATTCACACACTGTTATTTCCTTTAGTATTTATTCATATTGATTATCTAATGAAGTGCATTAGGAAGAATTACTTAAACAGAAATATGATGACAGAAACTTTGCTTTCAGGGTAAAGCATCATTTTGCACCTGTTTTTCTACAGTGCAAATAGTTGCTTGCTTCTATATTGCAGGTTAAATGTCATGGATTGATCCCTTGAATCCAATATTTTTTTTCTCCTGTTCTGAGAAGATAAAAATCACTGAGTAAGAGCAGTAAAATAAACAGCATCAATACAGACATTCTCTATTTTGAAATCTAGCAGGATGTTTATCTCTAAATGTTTAAATTACATTACAAAAGAGTGCTTAATTTGATTTCTATTTGAATAATTAATGGGTAGAGTAGATTTAGGGAGATATTAATGAATAAAAAATTCACTGTTTCAATTTGGGGATCTCCCCGCAGAAATATATGTCTTGAAGAGACGTGTGAAGAGATTATCCATTACTGGACAGAAGCTTGTGGCCAGTTAACAAACTACATTGTTTATTGTATTACAGTATTTTATTGTCAATAATGTAACACATTGTGAAGTTGGATTTTTTCCATTAAAAAAAGAAAATAAAGATTATTCTGTCACATATTTGTGTCCCTACCTTTAAGTTGTCAAGGCATAAATTCCTACATTCATCTTCTACTGGGATTGCAGTTCTTTTGGGCAACAGCGGGCAACTTTGCACATCTCAAAACTTAACTGTAATTAGGTGGGCACGTTGACTGAGTCATTCTGATCCAAAAACATGAGCTGATCTAAACATTCACATTGTAGTTCTGCTTGTATACTCAGGATGAGTCCTGATGGAAGTTCTCCACATTTTCTCAGGTCGATTGAAGTCTCTTGCTGGTTTTCTTCCAAGAAGTTTCTGTGCTTACTTTATTTCTTTCCATATTCCATTCAGTTCTTATACACATTGTTATGCCTTTCTAAAAGAAATACATCCCCTCATCACTATGCTGCCCTCAGCCTGTTACACCACTGGGTAGGTCTTATTACACATACACATAGTCTAAGATTTCAGAAAAACTACATAAAGGCTAAGAGATCTTTACATAGATGGAGCATTTGCTGATTATCTAAATTATAAAACAGTTGGTTGTATTTTATTTTTATTATTCATTGTAAAAGGTAAATTTTTATTTATTTGAATTAGGACAAGCGCTATTTAGCACAAGAGCTAATTTGCATCCACTGTCCTAATGAAGGGGAAAACAGGAAACATAAAAAGATGCTATAGGAGAGA